GTCAAAATGGCCCCGCCCTGGGGGGTCATTGATTTTCCCTATATGCATATAGTAAAAATTTAAAAATCTTCTTTTAAAAGAACCCGTTAGAGCTAGAGCTTAGATATTTGGGCATGAAAACATCTTCTAGTGAATGTCTACCAAGTTTGTTCAAAATAAAGCCCTGGGTCAAATTGACCCCGCCCCAGGGTGTCATTGATTTTCCCTATATTGCATATAGTAAAAAACTTAAAAAATCTTCTTTTAAAGAACCCAAAGAGCTAGAGCTAAAGATATTTAGCATGAAACATGTTCTAATGAGTGTCTACCAAGTATGTTTAAATTAAAGCCCTGGGGTCAAAACTGGCCCGCCCCAGGTGTCATTGATTTTCCTTATATGTGTTTAGCAAAAACTTAAAAAACTTCTTTGAAAAAAACCAAATAGCTAGAGTTTAGATATTAAGCATGAAACATCTTTAAGTAAATATCTACAAAGTTTGTTCAAATAAAAGCCCGGAGGTCAAAACTGGCCCTGCCCCAGGGGTGTCATTGTTTTTAACTATATGTGTATAGTAAAGACCTTAAAAAATCTTCTTTTAAAAAACCCAATGAGCTAGAACTTACATGTTTAGCATGAAACATCTTCTTATGGGTGTCTACCAAGTCTGTTCAAATAAACAAATAAAAGCCCTTGGGTAAAAATTGGCCCGGGGGGGGGGGGGGGGGGCTATATACAGGTGAGCGACCTCAGGGCCATCATGGCCCTCTTGTTTTTTTTATTAAAGTACAAAATGTATAACTATGAAGCTGTATTAATCATTTTTCCCAAATGTTAACATTTAAAGTATTTAATTAATGTACAATGTACATTGTACTTGTCATACTTTGACCTGTTTAGGCAGTACAAGGGGCGTCCGTGGCCGAGTGGTTAAGGTTGTTGACTTCAAATCACTTGCCCCTCACCGCTATGGGTTCGAATCCTGACAGGGACTTTGGATTCTTTCATGTGAGGAAGCTTTCCAGCTAGCTTATGGAAGTCGGTGGTTCTACTCAGGTGCCCGTTCGTGCCTGAAATATGCAAGGAAGGCCACCTGAGGTCTTCCTCCACCAGTGAAGCTGGAATGTCGCGATGTGACCTATACTGTGTCGATGTGACGTTAAACCCAAAAACAAAATTTAGGCAGAACAACTTTCTATGATATATATGTATAAGATTTCAATTGACTTCTTTCAACCAGTATTGCCCAATATTAACTGATTATAACATGATTGACATGCGTTTTTATCAGCCTTGCACATTTTTTAATGGTTGTTCCCCTGTCTGTCTGCATAATGGTTTTCATAACTTGATAAACTGTTAAATAGACCAGGGGTGGGGGTGGTGAACTACAAATCATTTGAATGATAAACTGTGCCTTAAAGCCCTTATTATACTACAACTACATAAGAATGTATATTTATTTTCATTCTAACTTTCAAATAGAAAGAGAATTGATTAAAAGGTGTGGAACTACATTAAACAAAGAAATGATTTTTTTATGACATCATTTGCTTTATTCATTATTGATGTCACATTTGACATGTAATCATATCTTTTTATGCCATGCTTATATTATGTAATAATGCAATTGATTGCCCTGTACATGTATGTTAAATAGTGAACTTATGTATATAAAAGATTGAGATATCTTACTAGATAGCTTTATTGACAGGTCTGGACTATATACAGAAAGAAGATCCTGATATTTTAAAGCTCAGAATCGAGATAATGATGAAAGAGAATTGTGAGGAGTTTGCCCTGAATCTCTGTAACTGGTCACTCAAACACCCTGCTCTGTTGAATGATCTAAAGATCAAAGAACACCAAATTTTCATACTTTATAAACAGCAGGAGTATGGCAAGATGCAGGAAGTGGTAAAAATATTGTTTCTTTGATCTCAACAGCTTAACTGTATTTATAATTTTTGTTTCCTTTCATTTTCAGTATTTTTTATAAAAAAAATTGTGTAAATGTTTTTATTAAAGAATTCTAGAAAAAAAAGAGTAAATGTATCAGTTGTGTAAAGTATCAGTAGTGTAAATTAAGACTTCAGATCTAAATAAGGATCTATATCTTTTTGAAAGAAAATATTTTCCAGTTTTTAGGTGTCATTTACTTAACAATAGCTGATATTTTTTTATCAGGTATTTCCATAGTTTGCATTTATACTGATATAATATTATATGAAAATTTAGGGTAATGTTAATGTTACCTAATTTAAACTTTTCAGTGTGAGACGATCATATGCCATGATGGTATCAAAGTTATGTCCCATTTAGCAAAGACGCCCACTAACCAGGAGCTTTGTATACGCTTAGCACAGGTGTTTCTCATACAGGACTGGGTAAAACCAGAGCGGACATGTTGTACACAGGTAAACTGTTCTATCTAAGATTTACTTTCTTTGAAATTAATTTGCTTTAATAATAATAAGCCAGCTTGCAGCAATGTTTTGCTTCCATGAGATTTGTGGGCACTTCTGTGCTGTTCGATCATAGTTTGCATTGCATTGTACACTATTTTGTCGGTACAATTGTGTACATTTTAAAATTTCCCATAAAAACCATGATTGGTTTTGTCCAAATTGAAAGGTTGGTTGAAATGTCTATTTAGGATATTTAGTGTAATATGGTTAAAAGCCAAGCTTTTTCACATGCTGTTATAAGTTTCAATAGTAATTAGCATGGAACTGCTCTTCTAGGACTTAACAGTTATCTTATGTCTGGTCCTAAACTTATGGGTACGGAGAAAGAAATTGAAAGATATTTTAGAATTAATGATTTTCTGTCAAGTTTGTTATTTTTAGCTCGACTATTCGATAAGAATAAGTAGAGCTATTGTAGTCACCCGAGTGTTGGCTTCTGCGTCGGCGTAACCACTTACGTTAAAGTTTTTGTAATAGTTGAAATATTTTCAATGTCCATTGACATATGGCTTTGAAACTTTGCACACTTGTTCACCATCATGACCCCAACCTGTAGACAGGAGGAGGTAACTCTATCAAGCATTTTGACAGAATTATCCCCCTTTTTCGACTTAGAATTTACGTTAAAGTTTTTGTAATAGTTCAAATATTTTCAAAGTCCATTGACATATGGCTTTGAAACTTTGCACACTTGTTCACCATCATGACCCCAACCTGTAGACAGGAGGAGGTAATGCTATCAAGCAATTGACAGAATTTTGCCCATTTATGACTTAGAATTTACGTTAAAATTTTTGTAATAGTTAAAATATTTTCAATGTCCATTGACATATGGCTTTGAAACTTTGCACACTTGTTCACCATCATGACCCCAACCTGTAAACAGGAGGAGGTAACTGTATCAAGCATTTTTTTTTACTATCAAGCACTAAGAATAGTCGAGCGTTGCTGTCCTACCGACAGCTCTTGTTGTCTAGGCAAACAAACATCAAATTATGAAATAGTTTAGAAGCTTTATTCAGTCCATAATCTTATTTGAAAAAGAAAGGAACCAACATAATTCACAGTTTAAGTGGTAATTTTCACTTACAGCATGTAATAATGACTCATAAAGATCAAAGAAAAAGCCTATCAACCCAAAATGCTTTTATGTCAATCTGTGTGTATGCACAAGGTTTACCGAGACTGGCAAATTGATATATATCATAAGTTCTACATTTACATTTTTCAAGAGTGTTTTCAATCAATTAAAATGCATGAATAATCAATAACCCCTGGGCAGTTCTGTAAATATCTTTTAGAATTTATCTGTAAAGTTCAATTCAATTCATAAAAATAGTGGGCAGCCTTTTCATATTTTAGGCAGGTTATATATTTTATCTATCCTCAACATTTGTCATCATAATAATTTTTCAATAAACATAATTATGATAGTTCATCTTGTTGAATTATTATTAAATATATAGCTGATTCAGCTCAACTGGTTAATGAAAAAAATAATATAGTCACGGCCCTCAATTCAGGAATATAGGGGATGAAATTGTTCACCATTTAACACCAAAAAGTATGATTGTTTAATTTTCTCCTATTTTAAAAAAAAATTCCCTCAGATTTTTTTATGCCCCCGCCATGTAATGGCCGGGGCATATAGTGTTACCCCGTTCCGTCATTCTGTCCTTCCATCCTTCCGTCATTCTGTCATCATCAGTTTCCGTTCATTATTTTAAGAACGGTTGAACACATTCAACTCAAATTTGACATATGGATATGTCATGAGAAAATACAGGTCAAGTTTGAATTTGGTCATGGTTCGATGATTTTTGGCAGAGTTATGCCCCTTTTACTTTGAAAATAATATGAAATTTCAGTTTCCGTTCATTATCTCCCCAAAGGTACAACACATTCAACTCAAACTTGACATATGGATATGTCATGAGAAAATACAGGTCAAGTTCGAATTTGGTCATGGTTCGATGATTTTTGGCAGAGTTATGCCCCTTTTACTTTGAAAATAATATGAAATTTTCAGTTTCCGTTCATTATTTCCCCAAAGGTACAACACATTCAACTCAAACTTGACATATGTATATGTCATGAAAAAAATACAGGTCAAGTTAGAATTTGGTCATGGTTCGATGATTTTTGGCAGAGTTATGCTACTTATACTTTGAAAATTTTCAGTTTCCATTCATTATCTCCCGAAAGGTACAACACATTCAACTCAAACTTAACATATTGATGTGTCAAAGGAATGCGCAGGTCAATTTCAAATTTGGTCTTGGTTCAATGATTTTTGGCAGAGTTATGCCCCTTTCACTTTGAAAGTAATATGAAATTTCAGTTTCCATTTATTATCTCCCCAATGGTACAACACATTCAACTCAAATTTGACATATGGATATGTTTTTGGAATGCCAAGGCCAAGTTTGAATTTGGTCATGGTTCAATGATTTTTGGCAGAGTAAAGCCCCTTTCACTTTGAAAATAATGTGAACTTATCTTTTCTGAATGTTGGAAAAATTTTGAACTTTCAGTTTCAGCACTCATACTTTTAGCCATTATTTTGGCTACAAATATGCAATATGCTATTTTTAAAAGGTTAAGACTGAATAATTTCAGTGCCTTGAACATAGTATGAAAATGGTTTGTGTTAACATTGAAAAGATTTAAGGGCTTTGAACTTAAAATGAAAAAAATAATTAAGGCACCATCTGAAATTTTGGCTGCATGCCGGGGCATCCATGGCATGATGACACATTTCTAGTTTTTATATAGATGTATTTTTCATGCTTTTATATGCCAAAAGTAGTAGACCCTTAACATTAATCTATTGAAATTGGCTTTTTAAAATTAAAAAAAGGGTCATGAGTGTTTCCACTATTGCAATTATGTACAGCAAAAATTGCCTGATATTTAGCCCTACAAGAGAAAATAATGTGAAAATTCCCCATCCTACAGGTACATGTACTTTTCCCCTTAAAACAGAAAGAGAGCTAACCATGACAATGTCACTTCTATAGAAATTACAATTTATCTTATAGGAGCTGCTAAAGCTGTGGATACACCATCAATATTTGGCAGATAAAGATGAGGAGCGTTTTCTAGATAGTATTTGGACAGTTGCCAAGGTGTGCCGGGATACAGAGCAAATTGGAGTGCTTATTGATGGTGTTAAAAAAGAGGTAAGTGATTTTTTAGCTCGGCTATGAAAATGATAAAGTTTCACTGATTGAAGTTTAAACTGATCATAATGATTAGTATGTAACATTCCAAGATGGTGAAATAACTTACCAAGGTGGTGAAATTAACAGATTGAACTGATTAGAATTGAATTGATTAAAATAATTAGCATTCAAGGTGTGTCCGTAAAGGTCTGAGACGATTGTGTATTTGAAAAAAAAAATTGTTGATAAGAGTTAAAAAAAAAAACAAACAAAAAAAAAACAAGCTGTTTGATTTCCTTCCATATTTCTACTATCATGCCCAATTTTATCCAATTATGTGCATTATTTACAAAATTGTAAAACAATATAAATAAGCATCATTGTTGCACCAGCCCATGTGACAACAACGTTTTAAAGATAATGACATTCACTCTTTCTCAAATTATCGTCCTTCTCGTGCTGTACATTTTTGATGACACATCACCTATGACTGAGAAACATTCCTTGGTCATTGACATATTTTCAGTTATCATGTGAAATGTTGTTTTACTGATGTCACACTTTTTTGCTATTTCTGGCACTGACATACGAGGGTTGGCGTGAAGCATTTCCTTAATCTCCATACAAGAGATGCTTGTTCTTTCAGATCTTTGGTGATCTGCAGTAGGTGTGCGGCACTCTTTGAATCTTTTATACCATTCAAACATCAAGCATTGTTCATGTTTCTTTTGGTGATACATTATGAATTTGAAAGTTCTGAATAATAACTCACTGTTTTTCGATGATATCTTGATCCATGGTCAGTAAGAGTACAGTGCCATTTTAACGTTGTTATTACATCGTTTAAATTTAAAATCATTCCAAAAATAATGCTCGATTGTTACTGCAAATTTCATTATGTTTTTCCTTTGTTACATTATTATGAACCAAAGTGTTTGAAACAGATGTAGACTTGAGCCATTTTTTAGCTCGACTATACGAAGTATATGGAGAGCTGTCCTACTCGCCCCGGCGTCAGCGTCCGCGTCCGCGTCCGCGTCCAGATTTTAGATTAAAGTTTTGGTGCAGTAAAATATTTTTCACTATAACTTTGTCATTTCTTAAGGTATCAACTTCAAACTTGAAATATATGTTCCTTATCATCAACCACATCTTATGTGACAAGGTTCATAACTCTAGCACCAATATTTTCAGATTTATCTCCCCTTGAACTTAGAATTGTCCTTAAAAAATACTATTTTTTACTGATACTTCTTTATTTCTTAAGGGATCAACCTCATACTTCAAATATATGTACCTTATCATCATCCTCATCTTATGTGACAAGGTTCATAACTCTAGCACCAATATTTTCAGATTTATCTCCCCTTGAACTTAGAATTTTCCTTAAAAAATACTATTTTTTAACTGATACTTCTTTATTTCTTAAGGGATCAACCTCATACTTCAAATATATGTACCTTATCATCATCCCCATCTTATGTGACACGGTTTCATAACTCTAGCACCAATATTATCAGATTTATATCTCCCCTTGAACTTAGAATTTTCCGCAAAAAATACTATTTCTTCTTTATTACTTAAGGTATCAACCTCATACTTCAAATATATTTACGTTATCATCATCCCCATTCTTATGTGACAAGGTTCATCACTCTATCACCAATATTTTCAGATTTATCTCCCTTTGAACTTAGAATTTTCCATACAAAATATTATTTTTTACTCTAACTTATTTATTTCTAAGGGATCAACTTCATACTTCAAATATATTTACGTTATCATCATCCACATCTTATGTGACAAGGTTCATAACTCTAGCACCAATATTGCAAGAATTATCTCCCCATAAACTTAGATGAATTACTAGAAAAAATGTTATTTTTTATTTTAACTTTTTAATTTTTAAAGGTATCTACCTCAAACTTCAAATACTTATTCCTTGTCATCAATTACATTTTATGTGACAATGTTCATAACTCTTGAAGCAATATTTACAGATTTATCTGTATTTGAACTTAAGATTTTCTTTAAGAAATATAATAACTTCTTTATTTTTTAAGGTATCTACTTCAAACTTCAAATATATATTTCTTATCATTACACAAATGTTATGTGGCAAGATCCATAACTCTAGCATGACTATTTCTAGAATTATTCCCCTTGATCTTGGAATTTATGTTAAAAAATGTTATTTTTTTACTATAACTTAATACATAATTATACATAATTGATTTTTCTTTCATAGTTTGTCCTCCTTACTGCGTCCAGTATTTTATTAGTCGAGCTTCGCTGTCTCCTGTGACAGCTCTTGTTACATATAGGGGTTGCTATAGAAACCATATCTCGTGACCTTCAAATAGCTTACAATATACAGTAAAACTTCGGTAAGTCGAAGTTGAAGGGACTTGCGTAAAAACTTCGACACATCGGGACTTCGACTCATTAATCGCACTCAATTCCATGCCAAAATTTCGACCAGTGACTAGTCTATAACGAAACCTATTTCATGTTTTTTCCATCATTAATCTGATATTCACATTTTACAATGATAAATATAGCATGTTAAATAACGTTTTTCACGGCTAATTATTTGGACTACCCGTTGACGTATACAAAAGAGTTACAAAAGGTGTAACAATACGAATGGGCGATAACTTAACCAACTTATAGTATATATTTTGGGTGTTATTCTCACGCGACACCGGGTCAAAGATGTAATCAAATGAAAGTAGTTCTTACTGTTTACTTTCAAATATCACTACGGCAATTAAAATAGTAACGATTTAAGCATTTTATCACACATTTTATCGCAAACAAAGGCTGTTTGAACACAAGGAGCTGTGTAATTAATTAACACCCGACACACAAGTTGATTGGATATCGTCTTCGCAGCCAGATAAGGTGTGAAAAATGTCTCGAGATCGACGGTGTCAAAAAAATCGAACAACTTCGACTTATTTGTGGTAAATTGCACTAGATTTACTTAACACGGACCACGAAAAAACTTCGACACATCGAAAAACTCGACACATAAAATCTCGACTCATAAATAGGTTTTTATAAGGAATATATAGGGGGAAAAGTCGGGACTTTAATTTTTCTTCGACACATCGAGAAATCGACTCATCGAAGTTCGACTCATAGAAGTTCTACTGTATATTTTAAGATGAAACTTGTCTGACATGTAATTATAATATATATGAATTTCATATATATAACTTTATAAATAAAAAAGTAAGGTCTGGCGTCCTGGAACTTTAAGGACACACCTTGTATATCTTACCAAGATGGTGAAGTTAACTGATTGATCTAATTAGAATGATTGGCATTTAGCTTACCAAGATGGTGAAATTAACTGATTGAACTAATTAGGATGATTGGTATGTAACTTACCAAGATGGTAAAGTAAACTGATTGAACTATATAGATTTGGTATATGATTAAAATTGTAAACTGATTGAACTATATAGAATTGGTATATAATCAAAGTTTGTATATAATGTAACAAGATTGTGAAGTTAACTAATTGAACTAATTAAAATGATTAGTATATAACTTACCAAGATGGTGAAGTTGACTGATTGAACTAATCAGAGTAATTTGTATATATCTTGAACTGATTGAACTAATTATAATAATTGGAATATAACTTACCAAGATAGTAAAGTAAACTGATTGAACTAAATAGAGGTGGTATAAAATTAAAATTTGTATATGACTTACCAAGATGGTGAAATTAACTGATTGAAAAAAATAGAATGATTGGTATATAACTTACAAAGATGTTGAAGTTAACTAATTGAATTAATTGAACCACTTGGTGTACATTTTACCTAAATGGTAAATATAAGTTGTTTGAACTGGAAAGAATGTTTGGTATATATTTGTGTAAGATGATATATTGAAGCTAATAGAACTGATAAGAATATATATATAAAATACAAAATGATGAAGGAAAACTGAACAAATTAAAATGATTGGTATATATCTGGCCAAGATAGGTTAATTGAAACTAATAGAATGGTTGGTATATATCTTTCCAATATGTGAAATATAAACTGGATGAACTAATTTAATTGATTGATATATATTTTCTAAGATGGTTAAAATAAACTTTTTAGAATGATTCACTTGTGTATATATATTTTCAGGATTGTTAATGCAAACTTACTATATGTTGTTTATATTTTTCAGTGTGGAGATATGTTCATCCAGTTATATTCAGAGCTGTGCAAGTTTGCTATCAACATTGATAAGGGAAACATGGAAAGAGAAGAGGTGCAGAAAAATCCTGAGGAGTACAACACAAGACGCCTAGCAATGTCAAAAAACCTGTGTCACGCATGGCGTTCATGCTGAAAGAATATGACTTAAGAATTTCACGAATTTGTGGATTAACAGCATTCGCCTTGGATCCTACAATGGTAATTTGATCTAGTGAATAAATTATACTGGACAATGAAGAATGTGTCAGCTGCCTCACAGAATAGTAAGATAACATAGCCACTTATATATGAAATTGAACGCTTGCTTGGACAGATGCGACCAGATTCTTTAAATCCGGAGTTTTATAGTTGTCGAAAACAGTTTAATACCAGTGTGTAAGAAATATTTAAACTTGATTATTTGAAAATGATAAAAGTTAGGCATTCCATTTAAGATGCAATTAAGAGAGAAAAACTGCATCACAAAAGTCTTGCATGAAAATAGCTGCAACCTGTACCACACATGTTAGATATTGTTAAAAGTGATAAAGAAGTGACAAAAAAAGATTGTATACTGGACACGAAAAAGAGGGAAAAAACAAAGAATGCTGCTTCCAAAAGATAGTTCAGAAAGCCATTTATGTCAAAATTGTTGGGTCAGAAGAACTTATCACAGAAGAAAATAGAGAAAGTGTTAAGTAAGGAATTCCAGAAATCTGAAACAAGAATTGGCGATGCACCAGCGTTGGATGTGAAAGCCAGTTGGAATGAAGACCATAAATGCATCTGGAAAAAGTCAAGTATACCTCGAGACTCATATAGAGAATGAGAATTAAGAATATATCTTTCCTCGCTTCAAAAAATGCTAAGAAACCTAACATTGAACCAGGAGAGGTAAAGAAAACAACATTTTAAGTAGCAAGAGATGTTCAGGCAGCAGCAACAAAATGACACATCTAGAAGATCAAAGCAGCATTAGTGCCCCTGGGGCTCTCAATCCTATGGTCCATTTTAACAGAGGCAGGTTAATCCATGGGTAGTCCTTCAACCACCAAAAATGGCCATAGTCATCATCTGGCAACAACATATGTCACCACCATTGGTGTGTGAGTTGCTCACCTTCACCAGCTCATAGTACATCCCCCGCCATGCGATCACCTACAGGTTTTTCTATCACCTATGTCACCACCAGCGGTTCAGGCAATTCTGGCAAGTCCCAACATTTTAAGGCAGTCATAAATCAGGTTCTTACTCACAAATGAAAACTAGTCAAAAGTCATTCAAATATTCGCTCAGCAGTGTGGCCAATAAGATTAAAAATGAGCTCGTGCAAAATCAGAGCAAACAACGCTTAAAAACTATGCTTTTAACATTTAAGACCACCTGGGTATCAAGAGCAGAGTGTCGCTAAAATTTGCCTCAGCAGATAGCAGAAATGCATGAGCGCCAGAGAGTCTTGAAAACCTTCAAACTGCTAAGGGATTCAAGGTCAATTGGATGGAGCTAAAGGTCTCTCAACTCGAGAAATATTCCAATCGGTAGTCAAAATTTCTGACCTGGCTTAGCCTGACCTTTCACAGCAATGGGACAGAAATGGGAGGACAAAAAAAGCCTATTTTGCATGGAACAGACACATGACTTGGGCCAAAAAGTTTATTTAAAAAAAGAAACTGCGAGGTCAGATCTGTTTCTCAGTTCATAGTTTATCTTCACCAGGAAAATTGTAAGAAGAGCATCCCTTCTATGCAGGTGGTGAGGTATCAAATGTTAAAAAATTCTTCATACTCCTCTCCATGCCCACTTCAACCGCTTCCAGTAAGCCAGATCTTTTTTCAAATAGAAGTCTATTCTACCAGGAAAGATCCCAAATGAAAGTCTTTCGCTACTCCACAAAATTGACCAATGTTATTTAGTCCCAGAGCCCAAGTTGGATCCTTCACGATGGCATTATGAAAAAGAAATATTACTACAAACATCCAGCCAAAGTCAAAAAGTTGTGTGCCAAAGTAGAAATTCTGGTGAGTTCACCTGTAGCTATGAAGCCAGTGTACTCAAATGGATTGTCCCAAAAGAATAACAAAATTCCAAACAGAAAGGAAAATTAGTTAAAACATCACAAAATGATGAAAAGCTTCCAAAAGGCATTAATGTCAACAAATAGGATCAAACTTTACAACACAGTTTCCAGGAATCTTCACAAGCAGTGTATTGGCAAGTTTCAAAGTCAAACTCCGCAAAATAGAGCAGCAGCATGTCACTTCTGGGGCAACATGCAAATCAATACAGTCCTCCAAGTGTACCTAACTCATCATAACAATATAAAAAGTGATTCTAGTAGCAATAATTCATTCCAACTTTCAATCTCCATTATTCATGAATTCTTTTACATCCATTGGGCAGATTTAATGGAAGGAAGGACTCTTGAATCTTCAATACTTTTAGCTGCCATGCAAGTATGTCTGTTTTGACAGATGCACCCAGCAACCAGTGATTATTTCTCTGCATTTACCGACAGTCAGTACAACAGCAGGACCAATACAGCAGCAATTTGTAACCCAGTCATTGAGCCTCAGTCCCATGTTTTCTCCAGTCAGCAAGTAAGGTCTCTGTTCAACAGTTGTACCAACAGCCAGAAACCCTTCTTGGCAACTCCCACTACACCAGCCAATTCAGTAATACCGAACCAGTACCTGAACTCAGAATACCACAAAGTTGATATTGGCTGCAACAACCAGTTGTCAAACAAATCATTGTACAGAACCATGCCATGAACCATTCTCAGTCTTTTGTAAAATGTTGTCAGTCAACAGCCAGGTTTTCAGTAGCAACTGTGGACAATTAACTTCATAATGGACTCAGCCATCGACAGGTATAATGTCACCATCGATTTTGTGGAATGCCACAGCTATTCTGGTTACCTAACACTGTAATGGATTGTTGTTCTCAGTCTGTTCAACTTGCCCTAGTGAATTATCCAGCAATAAGTTAGCAATAATGCTGCCCATATCTTCAGCATAAAGGACCTGTTGCTGCAAAACAATTTTTAGCACCACCAGAATTAGTCCACTCTTGTTCAACAAATTTTTGTCAAGTTTAAGAAAGGAGAGCTAGGCCTAATAATCATAGTCAGTCAAATCTGAAATGAAAAAAAGACATCTAAAAGGGACAAAAACAATAGCCTACAACTAATAGACTCCTGTCATGTTAATTGAATCAGTTAAACAAATGATAGTGAATAAAAATGATACTGCCTGCAAATCAGATGTAGACGAAGCTAGAGACAAAAAATTCTACAGCTAAGGAAACAGTTTGAACAGACGCTCTGTAATCAGTGCCAATGTTACAAATATATCACCTTATTGCCAAATAAACCAATCATATCATCCCTTGCCTAACACTGTAAAGCAGCCAAGGGAGGCAGTGAATTTTAGAAGCTTATTGTCAGATGATAAGAAAGTAAAAATAGTTCAACTTTCCAAATGTAAATTTTTTCATTACCCACTCAGTCAAATAAAAGTGCTTCTAAACATAGGTTGCCAGAACTTGTAGACCTTGTGCTAAAGAGTTTCCGCTGGAATCAATTCTATCACTTGAGAATATATCCAATGATGGTGGTGTGAGGTATGGTACTAAACAACCTGTTATACCAGTTTACTCAGTAGCCAATAAGATCAATTGGAACACGTGGACTTCAACTACTAGTAAGAAGTTCAGCTAAAAAGTGACGCAGAAAAGTTTTAAGTGATTATAAGGCATCAGGAACTCACAGCATCTGCCTATTCACAATTTGAACTTAGAAAATCAAACAAATATTCCAAAATGAAAAAGCAGCAGGAGCACACCGTCTGTTACTCCAAATCAGTCAACATATTTCAATGCAAAATTAGGTAAAGAAAGGGAAGAATAGGGGAGATAAACACAGCTGCTGTTCACTGAAGAGTTGAAACAAAACTATTGACGATCAGGAAAAAATACAAAATTTTGTGTCGTTAATTGTATCTGATTTCCTACAGAGCAATATTGATAGAACATAAGAAAAATCACTCTGATGAACATAAATGGAAGTGGTGTTGTATTGTTAAAGATGACTTTAAGTGGCAGAGATTTTAAATCACATGAGAAAAATACTTTTGAAGGCACCATCTACAGATGTAAGATGCAGTATTGTGGTGTATGATTTCCAATCCCATGAACAATTGAAAGCACCATTTAAATCCTAAAACATGTAGCACCTCAAACACGTTTAAAGAAAATCAGCAGTCTATGAAGATATAGTGTGTGTATTTGAAACGGAAAATTTGAATCGAATGGCACTCATCAAATAACATTTCAAGGTAGGTGTCTTAAAAAAGGAAAATATTTACTCAAAAGTTTAAAATTAGGAGAGTTGTTGATTTTTCTGTGATTGTTTCTTTAAATGCACAAATCCAATTTTAGTTAACGTGAATGAAAACATTGTCTCAAAAACACGCTTGAGAAATGCAGCAGAAAACAACTTGTCAGCAAAACGACACAAAACATACTGTAAATGTGTCAGGAAACTTTCTGTGTCCTGCGAAGATGCATGTAGACATGTTAAGCGCCAGTGTACGAAAGTTAAAAGTACAAATCACAAGGACAGGTCCAATGTATACTAGAAAAATAAAGGATGAAAAGTACAACTAAAGAAAGTTTGATAAGAAATAAAAAGGTATTGAGCGTAAGAGAAACAAGCGATGGTCAAAGAAAATCTGATAAGGGTCACAAGACAAAGTAGAAACAGATTATCTCTGTAACTGAACTGTCCAAAGACTTGTTGAAAACAAGTCGCGTTGGTTTAAAATATTGATAGCAGCTTTTAATGAAAACTCCCGCTACAAAAATTCAGATGAGGGCATTAATCCTGAATCCCATGCTACTGTATACCTGTGATAAGATGCAAAGGAGATAGTCAAAGATGAAGCTGTTGAAAAATATCAATACCAGGAAATACGTCGGCTGTGAAATTTTAGAGAAGTTGAAGGCAGAAGAGAATAAAATCAATTTGTGATATACCTAAAATTCCAGAACTTTGAACGACATTCAGCTGTGATGAAAAGGCAATGATACAGAGTTGGCAAAATTCAGCGAATTACAGCAAAAATATAGTTTTTGGCTGAGTTTAATGAAATAGAA